GCTCATAACCACCCTTATGCAAAAGTCTGACACATCTACAAAGACGTGAAAATTCTTGCTCCAATCTAACACCATCATAATCAGAGCTTCCACTAACCATTGCTTCAAGTCAATAAAGCTTTGCATTCTAGCAGATGTGGGTTCAAAATCAACACCCATCCCAAGCATGCAAGTCAATGAAAATGCCAACTTAGCAAAATGCTTAATGAATCGTCTGTAGTAGCCCACGCAGCTCAAGAATTCCTTGACTTCAGTTGTATTGGTAGGAAAGAATGCCTAACCATACTGCCACCTTATCTTGCTCCACCTCAATACCTCTCTTTGATACTTTGTGGCTAAGAAGAACTCCCTCCGTAGAAGCAAAGTAACATTTTTCTCAATGAAGCTTAAGGCCAACTTCAGTACACCGTTAGGATGTTTGCCTCAAGCAATCAATGTGATCTGTAGCTGGGCCATACATAACAAAGTCATCAATGAAAATTTCAAAAATAAATAGCAAGAAATCATGGAAAATGTTCATCATTAATTGTTGAAACATTCATGTAGCATTGCATAATCCAAATGGCATTTGTCTGAAGGCAAACACTCCCCATTCCGTCTTTAGTTGGTCTTCCTTTCTGATCCAAACTTGATTATATCTTGAGTAACCATCCATGAAACTATAGAGCTCTTTGCCTGCCACTATATCGAGAATCATATTAGTGAATGGAATAGGATAAAAATCCTTCTTAGTGGCGCCGTTCAACTTCCTAAAACTTGGCAAATTCAAATTTTTGGTGCTCCATTCGGACCAGGTATCTTAAGTACTACCACTAAAGAAGACCCCTACGCAGTATTGAGTACTGGATATATGTAACTAGGTTTCGGCAAGGTAAGGTAAAAGGTAACCGAGTAAGCCATGAGATTCTACCTTTACCCTAGCTTTTACCTTACTCATGTCACAATAGTCTACCTTTACCCTTTACTTCTACCTATGGGTAATTACCACGTTATCTAATACGGATTCTAATAGATTCAAATTTTACTTTTACATCAGGATTACCGAGTAATTACCCTTTTACCTCTACCCTAAAGGTTAAAAGATCAAGGTTGCCCGGTAATTACACTATTACCTCTAACCTAAAGGGTAAAAGTTAAAGGTAATTTACCTATTTAGTACAGTTTACCTAGATCGTTTCAGTAGAATGTGCAGAATTGTATTTTGAATGATTTTGAGAATGTACACATTTTTTTTTTTTGCGGTTAAGAAGGTTACACGATAATTACCGGGTAACCCATATGGCTCTACCTTTATGTTACCTTTACTCTACCCTATAGCCAAATCTCTACCTTTACCCTTACCTTTTAGCCTTTTACTGGGTAACCCTCAAAGTTACCTTACCTTGCCGAGGCCTATATGTAACCAGCGTCTAGCAATCGTTCAATTTCTTCCTTCATCATCAAGTAGTACTTAGTATTCATGCGGTGATGTCTTTGTTCCCACCATTAAATCAATCCTTATCTCTTCTAACTCAGGATTTACACATATGATATCTCCATGGTTCCAAGCAAAGATATCCAAATATTCAACGAGCATCTCATGTATGTATTTCTCTTGAGTTGCACCATTTTTCATTTGATTTACGTGATCAAAAATTCAACAAATCAGCATCCATTTGTATGTGAAAGCAACACACAAAACATATGTTGAATATTGTAATTAAAAACCTAAGTAGTATTCAAAGTAGCGTTCACAAGATAGAAGAATTTCTGATTTAAACAAATTTCATGAAGTACCGTGATATAATGCATATTTGAGCATTGATCTCAAAGAGAAAGTTTGATGATGCATGCAATCAAAAATCAACATACGTGAATTAAACCAAGTCATATTGTGGACATTCCAATTGTATTGCAGGCTATTATGTCACGTTAGAATAACTAAAAGAAAAACAGTGTAGAACCATAATAGAAGTATTACACATGATTTCAATACATTATTAATTGAAATAATTTGGAAACTCAATTCTTGAAAAATAAACAATTTGAAATTGCATCCAACGACTCTTCATTAGAATTTCATCGTCAGCATACATCATTTTTCCAAAAGCATCTAACATTTTCAATATAAACATTTGGTTTTTCATTTCTGAATCAAAGTATACTTTCATGATCTACAAACATATAAATAGTGATTTAGATTTCAATATGTAAGTACTTTAAAAATATATCTATACACTCCTTCAAGCGTTATACATATATTTGCCTATAAATCATTATATTAAACGAACAACATCTCAAAATTATTCTCAAATGTGAATTGTAGAAAAAATAAAAAATAAAACCACAATCCAAATACAATTGAAGCAAAACTTACATCATATTTGATTATTGCAAATATGTTATGTAACGCCGGAGGATTATTTTGAAAATTAATTTAATCCATAATTGCCATTTGGATCTAATAACCAGTGTGAAATTTTTAAATGAAATTTATATTGTCAATGTATAAATACAAAATGAGTATGCGCATTGATCCAAATATATGTTGACTGTTGTACATTTTTATGAAACATATAAGTTTCACTCTCCACTTTTGCTTCTATGTTATGCAGATCTTTCACATGAGTGGAGTCATATTTAACTCCTGTATTGGTACATGAAAGCTGAGCAGGATTATTGAAAGTACAATATGTAACTCATATTTGAATATACTATTGTAGATGCATATCAAAAACGTGTGGAATATACCAACTCCATGTAAACAATTGCTCTATGTTTGTATGAGGTCGTTTGTAATTTTTTGAGCATATCCATGGTTACTACTTCAAGTAACAACTACATTTTTGGCAATTATTCCGTGACATCTCTTGACTATATCATTACGATGAATTTTGCAGTACAAGTGTACAAATCAGCTTAAAATCAATACATGTATATGAAATAACAATTGTACAACGATAACATATATATATCAATAAATTTAAACTATAAAAACATTCACACAAATTACATGAAATGTTGTATATAATATATGACAGCAATATCAGATGTGGATTTAAAATTTGTAAATGATTTATCTGATCTGATAAATGAACAATTATCATGTTGCTCGAGGATTTTGTTATACATAAATCACATCCACATTGATATCGAAAAAACACTTAAAAAAAATTGTAGACAGCATTGTCGAGATCGCAAAACGGAGATCCCTGGTGATAGTGACACTAAATTTTAAGGTGACGATGACACAAAAACAACATACATTTGCCGTCAACCCGGATGCTACAGGTGGGATGTTCTAGCCAAAAAACTTAATACCTGAAATAGACAAAGCTTCATTAAAATTTGACTTTTCAATCAACCAATATATGAAGTTGATGTTATTGGTTCATAAAAACCAAAAGCTATTTGTGTTCTTACTCTATTTTATCTATATACTTTTGTTCCCAAAGAAGTTTAAAACAATCTTGATTAATTATAAAAATTCTTATGTTTTCAAAGCTACAAGTTTCCAATGTAAGCAAGTAATCAAAGTACTATGATTCGATTGGTTGAATCCATCACGTGTTGTTTCTACATTGCTTAGTTTTCAAACTGCCTCCAAAAACATATTGCCAATTGCTTGCAGAATTTCAATTTTGACTCTTTGCTAAACTTTGCCAATGATTGGATAGCAACAGATATAGATCTTCAATTAATCCAATCAAATTGCCATGACTAACTTGCCATTTGTACAAGGTAATGATATTGTACACTAGAGACAAGTTTAACTCAATTTCAACTCGCTCTACACATGCAAAGCGATGTAAATTAGCTAGCAAATTTTGGAAAACTGACTTTTGTTGTTGCAAAGTGATTCTTTTTCCTTATAAACCTTTCACTCATTCGTTCACATGGCCTGAAAACTAGCTTACAACTGCAACCAACATCTAGCAAGACATCGAGGTCATGTCAACGTGTCTCTTATGTTTGGTTCGGATTTGTATTGCATTAAACTTAAAGACTTCCATTTGGTTGCACAGATTTCATATGCTGGAGCATTAATTTGACAAGTTAGCTTAGTAGAAGCTATATATGGCACATATTCATGTTTTTGCGAATAATGTACTAAGTGTTTTATGCCTACATAGCGTTAGTTGAATTATTTTATTTGGTGTTGAGAATTTGTTCAATGGTTTCTTTGATTGTGTCGTGAAAGTACAATTGTCAGAAGATCATGTGAATATAATCACACACCTGCAACTTTGAGACCAAAGTTTCCAACTGCAAGGTTATGAATAATGTCAATCATTGTCACTATAGTTTCATATAAATATTCAGTTAAGGAAACCAGATTTGACACAATTGTGAAATGATAAATAGTCAGCTTGCATACATTGCTCTACCGAGAGCAATCAATCAGATTAGGCGATGATTCTATGCATGTAGAGATTGTAAATAGTTCAATATATAGTGATAGTTGATGTGTTTTTAAAACGTTTAAGAAATGTGCAATGTTAGAACGAAGATTTAAATGGTTAACATATTTGTCAAAAACAAATGTTTTTCGCTCATGATCGCAAGTATCAACGGGTAGCATGCTTTTTTCTTCTCTTTCATTCTTCATGTTCGATGTGTAGGTAGAAGTATCATCTGCACATATTTAATAAGAAGAATATAAAAGATGATAATTGGCTTTGTTGAGATTAATTTCAATAAATGATTAATTTTATGTACTAATTATTTTTAAATTTTTTTGGTGATATATCAGTATATCAAACTTGTTGTATTGTGATATTATTATCAAAAAATTGTTTATTTTATGTGCTAATTATATAATGATCAATTTACAAGTGAAACTTTTGAGAACTATGTTTCCAGAATATAATCGGTTGTGGTTTATATAAGTTGAAACGTTACAAAAAAATCTTCCATTGTTATTGTTGGGCTATTGGAGGCTTGACCCGTCGTACCCTAGAACTCGACGATGGTTCTCGCAGCCTTGAGGGAAATTACTCGGTGCTCGTTTGGACCGATGGCCGAGCCAACGAGAAGGAGCGACGGGGGCGAGGGAATTGGTGTGAGGAGGACGAGCCGACGAGAACGAGAACGAGCGAAGGGAGGGAGATTTGGGGGATTTGGGGGTGCAACGATGTGAAGGTGAGCGAGCGAGCAGCGACGGGAAGAGTGGAAGCGGAGCGATGGCGGAGCAAAATATTCATCCTCCGGGATCGGGCGCGGAGCATGGCGGCGGGCAGGCAAGTTTTGCTGTGATTTCCGCAGCGCCTGTGGCAGCGCCAGGGATCACGTTCGGCAGTGGTGGTGGTGGTGGTGGTGGCGGTGCGGGAGAAACTCCTGCGCCCCCGGGAGTCGGATCATCGAGCCAGAATGACGCATCGGCAGCGGCTGCAGCTGCTGGAACGGGAGTGCAGAACTCGAGGGATGAAGAGATGGCGGAGGCTGTGGAGGATGAGAAAGATAGCCCTCCCGAGAGCCCGACGAGGCGCGCGGACGGAGGAGAAGGTGTGGATTATGAGGTTTCCGAAGAAAGTAAGAAGGCTCGCGAGAAGCAGGAGCACAAGGTGCAACAGTTGTTGATGCGCCGGCGAGCGAATGCTCTGGCTGTTCCTACCAATGACTCGGCCGTGCGAGCTCGTCTTCGGAGCCTGCAGCAGCCGATCACGCTCTTTGGAGAAAGAGAGATGGAAAGGAGGGATCGTCTGCGTGCGGTTATGGCCCGGCTCGATGCTGATGGAGAGCTCGAGAAGCTTTTGCAAGCGCAGGAAGCTGCCGGCGATGGCGCTGCCGCAGCGGGAGTGGAAGATGCTGGAACGAGTGAAGAAGTGCTGGAACCAGAACCTTCACTTTTAGAACCGTTCATCACCGAGGGGAGTAATGAGTTAAGGCAAGCTCGCATGGAGATTTTGAAGTTCTCTATGCCCAGGGCTGCAATGAGAATCCAGAGAGCCAAAAGGAAGAGAGAGGATCCTGACGAAGATGAGAATGCAGAAACAGACGAAGTTCTGCAAGGCATGGCTCAGACCTCGATGGAATGCAGCGAAATAGGAGATGAGCGTCCTCTCTCTGGATGTGCCCTCTCTCCAGACGGATTCTTATTGGCCACCAGGTAAGTTTCAATCTCACTGTGGCGATCTTGACCACTTCATTGGTCAATGTAAGTGTCTAGGTATCATCAAGTTTCAAGACATCGATGATTGCCTCTTGTGCCAACTAGAGCACTGAATAATGAGCTGCTGTGTGTTTTTTCATATTACAGTGGGCTTAAGAATGTGCCTGAGGAGGCTGTGGAGGAAATTGATGTCTTGACTTCAAATTGTTTTTGTCATTTACAGTAGCTGGAGTGGGCACACTAAGCTCTGGGAAGTGCCCGCAGTAAAGAAAACGGTCGTGCTCAAGGGACATACTGAGAGAGTAACAGGAGTTGCATTTCACCCACAGTCTTGCAAGACTCTTTCTTCTTCTGCTGGAAATATTGCTACCGGTTCCGCCGATTGCAAAGCTATGTTATGGAGCCTTGAAGGCACACGCTTGAGAAGTTTCGAGGGACACTTGGAGCGACTTGCGAGGGTTGCTTTCCACCCTGCAGGTCTTTATTTGGGAACTGCAAGCTTTGATAAAACTTGGAGGTTGTGGGATATCAACACCGGAACGGAATTGTTACTGCAAGAAGGCCACAGCAGAAGTGTTTATGGAATTGCCTTTCAAAAAGATGGGTCATTGGCTGCCTCATGTGGACTAGATGCCCTAGCTCGAGTGTGGGATCTGCGAACGGGAAGAAGCATTCTTGCTCTTGAAGGTCACGTAAAATCGGTAAGCTGTTGAATTGTACAACCAATTTGGCTTGGGTTTTGTTAAATGTTCACTTTGCATAAACTCTATAGACGTGTGCGTCCAGCTTGTCTCAACAGCAATGAAAGAATGAAGAGCGTTCAGATTATCATTGAGTGTGACTTGTCGTTTAGCTCCCTATTTTTTATTTTCTACTCCAGCTTGTCTCAACAGCAATGAAAGAATGAAGAGCGTTCAGATTATCATTGAGTGTGACTTGTCGTTTAGCTCCCTATTTTTTATCTTCTACTTTTTACTTTTTCTGGTACATCCTTCAGTTTGCCTTCATGTTATGCCTTTTTGGCTTCCAGTTGCCAGTTGCTGCCCTTACGGTCGCTCTTACAACTATTTCTCATGATTGTGTAGGTTTTAAGCGTAGACTTTTCACCAAATGGATATCATCTCGCCACCGGGAGTGCGGATCATACTTGTAGGGTGTGGGATATGCGGAAGAAGCAATCCTTATACATCATACCTGCACACGCGTCTATAATATCTCAAGTCAAGTATGAACCTTCTGAAGGTTACTTTCTCGTCACAGCTTCATATGACAACACTGCCAGGGTATGTTACTTATACCAGTGTCTTCAACTTGTCTGATTCAATTCTGTTTCAGGGACCAGTAGGTCCGAATTTGTCTCGGGTATCAAAGAAATGGGAGGGGTTGTTTTGTATGGGATGGGTTTTTCTTCACACCAAAAGCGTACTCTTGAGAAATCCTTCTCTTGCTCTTTCGAGAAAGTTCTTGACTTCGTTCCTATGAGGGAGTCCGGCCTCAGCTTAGGAATCTGCGAAATCATGTATGCTGTGGTTTTCCTTCGCGTCGACATCAAAATTTCATTTTAAGTAGTTACGTTCGTGCTTTTGATAAATTTTGGTTTGTGACAAGCGACTCGCAAGGAATGGCTTCTGGACAGTGCATACTTTTATTCGAGAAAAGAATCAACGCCTTGATCATCATGCATTGGATCGTAATTGCAGATCTGGTCAGCGAGAGATTTTAAACCCGTAAAAACACTGGCCGGGCACGAAGGAAAGGTTATGGATCTGGACGTAATGGAAGGTATGCTTTCTACTCCATTATCAACCTCTTCGTAATGTATTTTAGTCATGAATTATTTACAAATAATTCAAGGCGTTCGTTCGCACTATCAATCCTTGTATAGCGAGGAAGTCAGGCCTCCTACTCGGAAAATTTGTGATTTCGGTTATTGATGATATTTTGCAGATGGACAGTATATTGCGACCGTGTCTTCGGATCGAACCATAAAACTCTGGTCACATTTCAATTCCTGAGCGAAGACTTAAAGAACGGTGGTGGATCGTGTTCCTCAATTCTTTGATCAGAGCTCGCTAGCTGGTGGGTTTTGTGGATTAGACTTTGTAATGTTGTAGTGTGGTTTTGCCTCAAAAAGTTTTTTATATCGATCAAAGTTGCGCTGAATATGTTGTTGCGCACCCATTAAGTCATTCGACTGCTTAGACTCACACTCCTGACAGATGTGTCGCAGGTCACCTAGAGCTCGCAGCCTCCTTCCATGAAATCTACTGGAGAAGGTGTTGCCCTTCAATTATCACGAGTCTAGCTTCAGCAGGCTGCACCAATGATTGTTAATTAGAACGGGCACAAGTGCTTTCATTCTAATTTCATGGGAGAAACTTCGCAGTATAGCGTACAGTTGATTGGGGCCGAGGAATTGGTAACTTGTCCTTTTACACTGAGGAGTAACTTTATCGGATTAGGAATCGAAGAATCCTGCGAAGCGCGGATGAGATTAGCAAGGATGGTCGTAGTCGTCCCTACTTCTATCGACGACCGTCGGCATAAAGATGGACACGTTTTGTACCTAATCAATGTGTTATCTTTCGAGACTGAATTAGTCATCTGTATTTGTTGCGGTGGACCTGGATGAGATACGTTTTTCCGTGATATTTGCGGGTCAGCTGATTCGAAGAGTGGAATGGCACGATATAGGGTCAATGACGTCTCGCCATGAGTTGAGACGCAGACTACTGAGCCCAAATGTAAATTGTTTCATATGGACCTTTTTCAAAAATATGTACAATTTGAAATAACGAAGTTCATTGGTGAATTCACCCGCTGCTTTGTCGAATATTTGTACAGCTGCAAACGTCGCATATTTCACTGCTATTCACCATAATACCCACCGCGACAACCACTGGAGAGAGTAATCTTCGGTAAATCAAACATCTTCTCTCCCATTTCCTCGCACATTGTAGTGGTTTAGACTCTGGCTTTGAAAATGAAAAAACGGCATAATTCGAATAAGGTGAATGTCTAAGAATGGTACATAGTTGCACACTCTGCAAGGGAGTGTATATTTCGTCTCGGAAAGCGCAGTGCAGTTGCCCCGAGGAACGCGAGCCAGGTAGAACGGCCAGTGATGCCACTCGCACAGTCTGGACTGGAGCACAGCACATGGAAACAACACGAGCAATTACGGCCAGTCCATGACCCACTTCCGAACAGGAACGATCTCGCGGGCGATTTCCCAGGTCTGGATGGGCTCGACGAAGAGGTGGGGCACGTTGAGGTAGATGCTGCGGCGCGCCATGTGCAGGGTAATGTGCCAGGCGCAGGTTTCAGCATCCTTGAAATCGATGGTTTCCTGGGCCAAATCCCACAGGCCCTGGAGCTGCGCGGGCGAGAGCTTGGCGTTGTTCGTCAACCACTTGTCGTAATTGTAGGCCAGAGGAATGTGGTCCATCTTGGTGGGAAGGATCTCGAGGTTACACTTCTCGTAGCCGTCGTACCGAAACTCCTTCATGGCATACTCATACGGCTTCTGGACCAAGCCTCCGACTCCCTTAAACCTCAAGGTCAGAGGAATGCGCAGGCCGCCCTCGCGGATGTCGAATTTGTTGAGAGGCCACATCTTCTCCACCACGGGGCGTGGGAAGGGGCCGTAGGCTTCGATCACCCTGTCCAGAAGCTTGGCGATGTCAGTGGCGGGCAGATAGTCGCCCTTGTCGATGAACGAGGTTATGTCACAGTGGGGAGGAAACATCGTTCCCTCGTGCAAGCCATAGTGAGCCAAAGACGTCAGCAGGTATCTGTCTAGGGTCTTATAAAACTTCGACTTCTTGTAGGGTTCCAGATACACGATGTAAGAAAAGCGCACCATGTCCGTCCGCCTGTCGATGACGAGATTAGACGGACCGACGACCGAGCTCAGCGAGCAGGAGGCGAGCCCTGGAGCTGCACCCAAACCATGGCTCGCTCGGATCGGGTGCCTCGCTTGTGCAGAGATGCTCGCCGCTCGAACGATCCGCTCACTGCCAGTGCGTCCGACTCTAGCGATGCACTCACTGACCAACACTCTTCATAAAACAGTTATTCGCTACCGAACTTCGAGGGGACGCATGTGCACATGGAAGAAGAGGAGTCTCATAGAACACGACACACATTGCTCGCGTCGGATCCGTCCCGACTTGTTCTTTACAGAAGTGAAAAGGTCCAAGTATATCACAATCTTGCCTTGAGGCTTGGCCCCAAATTCGCCCGGGGCTCATGCGCTGCCACTGTTCCAATCTCCCTGAGAAGAGGGAGCGCAGCCTCCAGGTGTCTAGTGTTACAAAAATGGCGCTGGTGCACGGTCCTACTACATCTTTGAGCTGAGCTGAATCTGGCCACTCTTCTTAACAATCGTTCCTGTCCTTCGACAAACGAGACAGGTTTTAGTGCTTGTACCTACAGGCATTTACAAGAGTTTCATCGGTGATGTCTCAATGCCAGGCTCGAAAGCCAGGGAGGATACAGCAGCATAGGCCGTGTGAGCACACTTGACAGGCACACCTGAGGGAGGAGCTGCCACAATCATGGGGCTTTGTTGGAAAAGCCTGGGTGTGCGATGAGGCTTCAGAGATTGTCCAAGGCTTGAATTAAAGATGCGGTCGCTGATATCGACTTCTTCAGGAGTGAATGGAGGTCTACAGCCCTGACAGAAAACTCGTCCGGAGCTTGCAAGTTAAGAATCGATCATGGACTCCAGCTCCTTGTCATCCAAGTCGTTGTCAGAACTGACTCCCATTTTGAGCGCAGTCAGCATCGCCTCCCTGCCGTCTGAAAACCCACCGTGCTGACTGAGAATCGACTCGACAGTTTTAACTGCGGAATCCGCTTTGGAGATCCGTGGCCTCTCCTCCTCGGTTCGATCGCTTTCGAACAGAGGTAAGATTTCTTGGAACGGGGCACCATAAAAAGCTGCACCGTCTCCATAGCACCTCTTCGCCATTTGGCACAAAACAGTTCCCTGTAACGTAAGCCAGTATTGTTCGTCGCTCCAGCCCCTCTCCTCTGCTGCATCCTTCATACTAGCCCAGTTGTCTTGCTCGGCCGCATGCAACCATGCATCCTCTAGTAGAAGCTTATTGTTCTTCCTGAAGTCGTCTCCCGCGAACGCAAGCACATCAAACGCTCGCATGACGAGGTCCCTGTGACCACTCTTCAAACATGTCCCAACTAGCTGTACAGGTAAAAGAACCTCGTCTGAGACCACGCCTTTCTGGTGCGCCTCTTCCTGCACATTCGTTTGCAATTTCTCTCAACTGCCATAGCCATTTCAGAATAGCTGGAGGTTCACATAGAACTTCATTATAAGGATAAAGCCAGAACGTTACTGAACGGAGACACGAGAGTTGGAACTTTCATCGGAAAAAAGGCCAAACGCCACGACTTTCTCACAAGACGCAACCAAGAATTTACCTGGACCTCCAGGATGACTATACTCGCATCGATCATCGCGAGCTTGTCTCCGCCGACCATTTCACCACCTGCATCCAACCACAATCAGATCTTTGCTTCAAACACAGCATCCTCCACGCAACGCCTTATCAGTGCGGCTGCAAACCTACCGACTCGATGTAAGCTGAAGGTGGTCATTTCAGACATCAAGAAGGTTCTCATCTCACAGCGTCCTAGCTCAAGTTCAAATTCACCCTAAGCAACAAGATGGAGACTCACCGGCAAGAGCTGACAACTTTGCAAGATACAGTAGTCGTCGTCGCTCTCTGAGCTTGTCCTTCGCCATAGGGCCTACATCCTTCTTTCTCACGTACGTTGTCTCTTCATCTATCAGTGGATTTGAGCTTAACGCTAGGGAATGTAGTGTGCTGCAAGCGGAATTATACTGCTGCATGAGTATTTCGTGCAGCCATCGCAGATGAATATGTTGCTGCAGAAAGTCTTCTAGCTCTTCTTGAAACTCCTCGCCCAGCCGTAGCAATTTCGAGTATTGCTTTGTAGTGCAGAAATGGTCAAACACGTAATGACTGAATCGTCCTTCTCGAAGTCCCATGCTCTCTCGCTGCAGAGAATCACACTGTACACGTCATGTACGACTCACCACTAGACCATTCACTATGTCCTTGCATGTACCTTTTAACTGCACTTTACTGGAAGATGTGCACGCGACTGATGACAGGGGAGAAGACTACGTGCCAAAGTCCTAGGTGTGAAGAAAGGGCGTCCTCACCATTAAACTGCGCAGCTGATTCATATCATCAAGATCAGTGCATATGTTGTAGAGGGTTTGGTAACCAGCATGACGCCGGGCGATTGCGATGAGAGATGGGTACATCTTTTGCAGCACGGCACGACGTTGTTGCGTTGCCTTTCCCTCGTCGAGGATGTACTGTTGAACAGCCAGAGCCACACAATTTGAGGGTCAGCTTATTCCACACTCGCCTTCAACAACGCAAGTGTTCCAATCCTTTAGGAAACATTCTTAGTGCCAACCGGTTAGAGTCGAGTAGATAACTGACCTGTACGGAATCATCGGCTACTTCCTTGGCGTGTTGCTGGAGAGCTAAAAGAAGAGTATCGCGCCGACCCCAGTACTCCATTTGCAAGCCTCTGTATTCTTCTTCTCTTTCCACTTTCGCTGTGATTGCACCTGCGTATCCTTCCAGAAGAACATCCGCAACTATCTCCAGCCAAGATACTAGCTTCGGTACGAGTGAAGGTACTGATACGCTTGCTTCTGCTTTCACCTCCAGACAAAGACTTGCGACCTTCCAAACTCCAGATCTTACTGTAGGCCTACAGTACCAGGGTGTCAAACCTTCAGGTGAAGGATACCAGGAAAATTGAGCATCCCTGTAACGAATGGCAGACCTTATTACACCAGTAGTGGCCTCCGCGATTTCACAAATCCTTTCAACTTGCATCCTAATTGGCTGCTCTTGACCTATGATGGAACTCGCGTGTTGCTGGATGCAAGCAAAGAACTCCTCCAGGTCAGACACCCGGGTGTAAAAAACTTCGGACTTTTCTCGGTCCATAAGCATGACATTATTCCGCCGGGCCTTCTCCCCTACGAGCTGGACAGTCTCCCACAGCGCTCCACTGGTTTCGATGTTTTCCACCGAGTCAGGCTCATCAAAACTTCCGGAGACTTGCATTCTAGACTGTGCCCTGGAATTATGCAGTTCGCGAAGTTGCACCATGGCAGCAAGCTTCTCACCATGCTCCATGATGGCATGTAGTGCACCTCCTGTTAGATCATGAATCAGCCTCAGGCACTTGATTTTCGCCTCATTTTATAGTTTTAATCCATATTAAGCATCCATTCTCGTGGGTTTGCGAAGCTTAATCACCTAGACAGATCAAAATTGATGAGAGATTCAAATCACAGAGATCCTGAGGCAAGCAGGCAAATCTTACTGGAAGCAGGGCGTCCTAGAATTCTAGATTCAAAACTTTCGCATGTGCTAGAATTCTGCACGACCGATGCTATATTTGTTCTTTATTAATAATTGTCACCGTACCTTACTAGTGGTGACAACTCCGTTGTAGAAAAGCAATAACAACCTAACAGAGACTGAATCTAAGAAAAATTGAACTTACTTTGCTTCAGCTGAAGCTCCTCGTGGCAGTTAGAAACAGAAAGAAAAGTCAGGTACTGCTGATGTCGACGTTGTTTTTCAATAAGTTGAGAAGAAACAGCAGCCATAATTGCTGCACTTCCTGATCCACCAGCTACCCAGTGCTTTGCCAGCGTGTCAACGATGACTCTACTTGTTCGGGCAAAAATATTCATCTCCACTTCTCTTTCAAAAGCACCCGCTCGCTCGAGTTTTTCAAGAGCAGAGTCGACTCTGCCAGTGGTTAAGTACTGCTGAAACATGCGTCCAACTATTGCTTCTGCTTCCTCATCATGCAATGGTCTCTGATTGACAGCTTTCGGGAGCCGGTTATTAAGAGCGCCAGACTCTGAGACAACACGACGAGGAGCAATACTGGAACCACGTTGCCTTTCCTCCTTTGATGAATCCTCGATAGAACTCCCTCTCCTAGAAAGACTCCTCTCAGGAGGCTCAACGCCACCTAATATGACAGCCTTCTCTGAAATTGCCCATACACCGGACTTTTCTGTGAGCACGAGCCAAGCACCCTCATCCCCTTCTAATGCAGGAACTACAGACGCATCTAGAACCTTTCCTGCGCCCCAGGCGAGGTCGAACTGGTAAAGCTTAAGACTGCCATTGCTGTGATGAGCAATTGTACATGTTCCGTCACCCGCCAGAATAACGGCAGATCCCATGGGATTTCCACCTACACGAAGGCGCATGGAGTACAGCACATCTTCTTCTTCCACCCTTGCTTTGGGAAGTATAACTTGCATGGGCGCTTTCCTGACCAAGTCACCGTCGGGTGGAGCATTGTCGAAAAACGTGAGCAGAGAATACTGCATAAAACTTGAACTGTTACCACGATCTTTTGAGAAGGAGGCCACCAGCACTGTGAAGAAGTTGCCACTGTCATCGACCTCTAAGTCCAGTAACCAAACCTGTTTCTGACCAGACAAATCTTTCTGAGTATCGGGGTTCCCGAGAATGTTAAACCTCCAAGCTTCCGATACTTTCCCTCCCGATGCAAGTTCAACATTCCAGCACTCCAGCTCCGCGGCAGTTAAAAGCAGAAGTTGTCGCACTCCTAGCTGAGGACTATCCTCAGGTAACCGCCAAACCATGGAACGGGCACTAGAGCTGTTGAATGCAATCAGTCCAACATCCTGTCGTGCCACAACGTCCCGTGTAATCTGCTGACGAGTGATCCCCAGAGGACAGCAGTCGTAGCGCCACAGCTCGCCATTAGTTCGAGCAGCGATCGCAACGCACGCTTGAGGTGTTTCTCCGGGAACAGCTGATGCTATCAACGAATTAACCACCTCACCACCAGGACCACCTGTGCTGCTAGTCCAGCTTGAAAAAGACTTGCGGCCACTGAGTCTGCTCTCTTCAAGTGCAGGAGTCGACGATCCTTCGATTTTGTCACCAGTTCCGAGGCTAACTACCGACGTATCACCGTCTTTAAAAACATCCGGCCAATACACAACTGCAAGTGTCTTCCTGTGACACATAACAACACCAGCGGACTTGCAGGCCTTGACAAAACTGACATCGTTTTGATCCTCTGTACGCCAGCCAACAATTGACACCAGCCAGTTCTCAGAAAATTTAGAATCACCCGCCCGCCCATCTCGTTCAGAAAACTGAGGTGGAATTGTCAAGACTGCACATCCTTGCGCAGCACGACTGTTGAGGTGGCTCCATACAAACAAATTACTTCCATGAAGTACCCATGAGAGACCACTTCTGCCGTCCATGCCTCCGTACACCCCAGCATCTGTAAAGAAAGAAATACTTGGCTTTGAGAAGACTGAGACAAACGATCTATCAGTTGTTAAACCTTACATCAGATGATATACCCGATTTTGGCTTTACTGCCAACTTAGTCCAACTGCATCTCCGAAGGTCACAACAGCTCCACATCCACAACAACAGAAGATCCTTGAAGAAAGCGGCAGACCATTCTTCAACAGTTAACTCTGGAAAACGGGAAGTGAATATACCTGCACGCTGATGAGGACGTTCGATCAAAGAATTGCGAAGCTGTTGAGGAAAATGGCACACAAGAACTGGCTCTCCGCCATCAACAAGTGCTTTCTCTCCTATTTCAGGGGGAGGAGGAGTTCTGATTGGTTGGAAACAAAAATAACGCATTAAAAAATCAGAATTCTACAAGGTCTCGACACTACGATTAACATCGCATATTTGACTCGCAGTATTCGGTGATGACAAAGGCCCTCGAAGGCAGTGAGAAAAGAGCTACATTCGCTTCAAGTAATTCATAAAACATCGGATTTAGGCTATCAGTGAGCGTCCTTGGCACATAAATTTGCACCTGGGAGGTACGGACGATGCGGACGACCATGGGAACAGTGGAGAAAGAGTGCCGCGTACGGAACCAGGAGTTGGCTGATGAGGACTCAGCTGGGGAATTACAGCTGGAGCAGGCGAAGATGGACTGTGCAATCCTACTCCCTTCGCTTTCCCCAACTTTCCGCGAGCTGGTGTGAACATCGTAACCTTCCTCCGGACAACACCTGATGTTACAATCCGACAAGCCCAGGTACCTCAAACCAAAATAACAGGACTAATGCTCATAAGAAGGGCGGTAAGCATCCCCAGCACTCGCCATCGTCTTTCATTCAGACGAAAAACTTGCAAGCCCTTATGGTACATCCTTTCTGCATCTATTCTAAATGCCCCAAAACACTCCGGTCACTTGTCCCTTCAAACCTGCATCATGCGAAAAATCCAGTTCACCGTCCTTCACCAGCTTTCCAAAAGATTTGATTCGCGACTACTGCCCCAGAGAAGATCAGCCATCTGGTCCCTCGGACGACATTACTCTCTGCGCCGTAAGCATGACTTGCACGCTCCTTCGTGGCCGAGGACGGAGTTCAACCACCTTCAATCGAACAATTCCTCGAGCTCTAAGAAATCGCAGCTGTTAGAGCATCTCCGACGCACGCACCCCACCGACATTGGAGTACGTACTGCAGTAAGAAACACCTGCACATTGCACAGAGCCCGTCTGGACGTCGTGCCCAAGTGTCGTCGCCTCGATCGCGAAGTCCGGAGTCGATTTCATCGATGAGAACGGGAGCTCGTGCACATGCCCACCCGCGTGGGCTTCGAACTCGTCAGGCGCGGGAAACTCATCTCCGACGACCTCTAAACCCTAATCCCGCGTCGAGTCGCAGCGACGAATGCACCGCCGTCACGGTAGGCAGGAAACTCTCGAAAGCGTCGTCGTGAGTGCACGAGGTGCGACGCGCGACGCAGGAAGCATCGGACCGCGTCGTCGACGACGCGGTCCGAGAAATTCAGCAGATCGTGAAGTGTTGACCGAAGGCTCCCGTCCGACAGTCCATCGGAGTTCAGTCTCCCTCCTGAGGACAGAGCATCGCCCATTATGACGGACCGAAGTCGAGAACCTTCGTGCGAAGCGTAAAACCTCCGCAACCTGCATACGATCCGACGGTCCGGCGCTCGTTCCGTCTCAAAAACCGACATGTACTAACCCTAACGAAGGGGCCGAGTGTGCCTCGATGACTCCTGGGGTCGCCGTGTGTCGCGCGGCTCGGTGGTCTCGGTGGGCCCCACCGGGGGGCAGCTGCTGCGATGTGCCTGCGCGCGAGAGGAGAGGACAGAACGAGACGAGGAGACGCTCGCGCTCTGCCACGTTGGAGCTGCCACCGGCTCCCCGCTCGCCCCGGGCTCCGCCTGAGCTTCAAGTGTCTGAAGGGCGGCTCGCGTCCTCCTCTTTAAGCGAGAGGAGGACGAAGGCCGACGAAGCGAGGCACCGAGGACGGCGTCGGCAATTTGTTTCCTCAATTTGTTTCGTGGCATCGATCGGCATCGTGGCACCGCACCATCCCCCGCCTGCGATCAATTTACCTCGTTGGGCTTTCCTGCTCGAGTTTGAGTTCCGATCGATCTGGAGAGAGAGCGCGTCGTGCTTGTGCTGAGGAGATTGCAGGTTTGGTGTTGAGATTGGTGGCACGGCAGCAGCAGCACGGCGGGCGGGATCTCGAGTTTGGTTGGGTGATCTCCGGGATTCGGTATGGTGAGGGGATTCGTGCAGGAGCATGTGTACAAGCACCCGTGGGAGCGAGTAACTGCTGCTAACTGGAGAAAGTATTCCGATCCGGAACACAAGTCGCAGCTGTCTCACGTTCTTGAAGTCGATACCATTGATAGGAAGCTGGACTCTGAAGCCGGCCAATTGCACTGCACGCGGGTGATAACGGTGAATGCTCCCGGTCCATGGTGGCTTCAAAGGGTTTTGGGAGGAAGCGTGTGCCATTGCCTGGAAAATTCGACCGTCGACGGGAAGAATCGGACCATGGAGATGGTGAGTAGAAATGTGACCATGAAAGATTTTGTGGAAGTCGAAGAGAGGTGCTCCTATTCGCCCCACCCCGAGAACCCGGACTGGACGGTCTTCAAGCAGGAGACCAACATCCGCTGCGCCACGCTGTCCGTGTTAGCGACAATGGCGGAACGCATCGAACAACGGTGCGTGGAAAACTTTCAGAAAAACAGCTTCCGAGGCAGAGAGGTGATGGAACGAGTATGTTCTTTCATGGAGAAGGAGTCCGCAAGCATGTAAATCTTGGACATATGGCCGAAGGCTTGATATTGAGGCTCTGGGACCGTAGGCGCCTCGAGGACGAGGTTTTGTTAGGCTTTACCGAAAAAAGTTGTTGGCATACCATTCTTTCGTGAACTGATAGAATAGGTAGGATTCAGTAATTTGCTCTAGCTGGATGCTGACCAAACGAATTTGATTATTTGCCATCGTTATCCTGCCGCACATTGAAAGATTAGATAGGCCCGGCCGGTGTGCGAAGCTGCCAATTATTGCCGTGCGTTTTTTCTGAGCGGAATCATGAAAAGAGATTAATTTTGGATCTCCATTCAAAGATAGGAGGCCTGTTATTTCGCCGATTACGAAGAAGATCATTTGATGTCAATAAACGAAACCGAAGGGCAGTCAGTTAACCCTGCACTCTGGCACAAGTGAAGGGTTTTAGTCTCCCTGGCTTTTAGCAGTAACCGTGAAGCGAATTATATGATGCTTGTCAGTTTTTTCCTCTTCGTTCTTCTCCATAGACAAAGGTGTGCGCCAGGTGAAGGCTAAGATCGCTGCCGTTACAGCGAAGACCTTCTCAGCCTACGAAACACGTTTGATCACGATGATATTTGTGACAAGCAGGTCATTCTAGGAAACGGATGTGAGGACGACAGCGGTCATGAAGCCTGAGCAGCCGTCGCAGGTCGTCACTCTATGAGGTGATCTCGGCAGTCCAACCAAGATCTGGCTTTCGTGGGGAACGAGTTAAGGCTGCAAGTATACATCTGCTGGCAGATGCGTGCGTGTAGGTGTAATTCAGTGTACCCGGTGGAGGACAGAAGTGACCTGCCCCTCTGCCGTAGATTGAAAGTCTTCTCACCATATTGAAATCGAACTATGGAAAGGTCTGTCCATACGTAGTGCAGAGGCATGTGAGCACCCTCTCTGTCATCAACTTCGAGCGATGGAAAGCTATTGGCCGTCGTGAGGAAATCCCGAATCCCGCAGCTCTTTGTTCAAAAGAGTCACTTGTGCGGCCTGTGGAAAGAGGGACACGTCGGAGAAATGATGCCTCACTGCACAGGTCTCTCTCGGGTAAGGAAGAGCGAGAGGAAGCTGTGAGTGCGTTCTTCGCACTTGCCGTTTGCTCTCGCAGGCAAGATTTATATTTCAAAAGATTATTCTTCACTTTCGGTTATCGGCAAGAACACAATTCGATGTCTATCTTTCGGGCGAAGCTGTCAACAAAGGCCAACTTTCTCCTCAACGAACAGGATTACATTCTGGCATATAGATGATGTATCGTGATGAAAACGAAACAAACTCAAGAAAGACTTGTTGTTAAAAGCTGTTGTACTTTTATAGAGCGATTGTGTGGAACATTTGTCTACTGAGGGACTTAAGCTGGCGAAAAAACTTTGGAGCGAACGAGAGGTCAGCACCAATTATTAAAGTTTTGAACGATCGAAAATAAAAACATTGTCAGGACTTTTATTTCAACTATGCTTTGTTCACGATTGCTCCTGTTAAATTGTGTTATAACATGTAATATTTTAACTTGTCAATTCGCTTGTTGCTGTTTTGCGGTGTATGATCTCTCTTCATCGGTATTGTCGTTTTCTGCCGTGTACTCTTTCCTTCAGAATGCGACCGTCATTGGCCGTCTTGTACAGATCCATAATTCAATGCACCTGTATTAAATTCGTCTCTCCATGATATACACACTCATATATTCACCATGCGATAAGATTAACAGGAGTACACAACTTGGGGCAGCACGCTCATAACACAGCTAGCAACTAGTACAAGGAGCAGATGGTGTCAAATCTCCCTGACTGGATAGTCGAACAGTTCCGGAGCAAATCGAATCCCCGTTCTCACTTACAAAGATTTGGGATTAAGGAACAACAATGTACACTTGTACTCGCTCTGCGAGAATCCTGAAATCCAGCTGCAGCTGGGAGTCCGGGATGAAGTTTTACAGTGTCAATCAGTCCTAGCAATTGCTAAGCATAATTTGACAGAAGGACGATTATATCATAGCCGCGCGCTGTGATTGTCGTCCGGAAGAACCTAGCTTGCTGCGATATTTGAAGTCCCGGAAACAGTACTCAGTTTTGACTTATGGCTGGTGACTGATCCATATCCCCTCCGCAGCAACCTAATCTTGCTAAGCCCTCTCGATGAAAATCAATCGAGTACACTGCTCTACCTTCCTGACTGCTGTAAAAGAATGTGGTTTCCCGATAGGATCTTCTCCTAGAATCTCGCATCCCAACATGAATTCAAGGGCCACTGTCACCATCCCCGATCAGGTTGCAAATGTCACTGCATTCGATGAGACTGCAGAAAGCCAAAGAACAAACAACCTTGTTAACAGAACTAGCTATGCTCGTCGGGTGCAGTTAAGATTTCTCGACGCACAAGTTTACAAGCTGCAGAAAAGACCAGAACACTCTGCTATGGCAATTTCCCGACGTGATCCTATACGTACCAGTACTGCCTGCTGCGAAATCCTTCCTTGAAGACCACCATAGGCCTGAATTCACAGTGCGCGACCGTCAGGACGGACAATCGACACGAGGCGGCACATTTTTTAACTCTTCTGCAGGGCGGCTGAAAATCTGAGACCTTCACCGACTTCCTTCTTTTACTGGAGCGGCGATACGCGCACGGATATTCATTTATTCGTGTCACAGTGAAATTATCAGGAAATGCAGGCATTGGGAGAATCATGAAAAGAACCTTGCAGAACCGCCACACGAGTAAAACAGGGCGGATTTATGTAAGTGTTATGTATACCTCCTGACGTTGAAAGGGCCCTCGCCCGGAGACCCAGCTCCTCCTCTGATACAGGTGCCCAAGCACTTCTGTGTGCAGCCCTCGGCCTTTTTGGATTTCGGTCTTTGAATTCTTCGGGGTTTATCCCCACCTGCGCACCAACAAGAGAACGAAGGTTTGAGTCGTCATGCATCCCTTCGATAGTGACAATTCATGGATTCGGCCCACGAATGAGAGAATTGGCCGGAGCCACGAGGCAAATTCACAGCGTCGACGACCTGACAAGTCTTGGGGAACGTTCTCAAAAGTGTCAACCACATTCGGAGGAGCGATGTCGGAGTAGAAAGCGTTGGCCAGAATGAGCACGGTCAGCAATGAGCGGAATGCTCTGCGCTCTGCAGCTCCTGAGAGGCTGCGCAATTCGGAAACGAAGTGGCCGAATTTCTGACGGGCTCGATTGGTCTCCAGAAGCGGGACGACCGCCGCCGCAGCAGGAAGCAGGATGAGAGAATGATTTTGAACCACGGATTTCCACACTTCCACGTCCCCGAGAGCAGCTGAGCACGCCGCCCTTCTGCGGCCCGAGAATCGCTTGCAAGAATTTGTCAACGTTCTCGGCAAATCCCCGAGGACGCAGAACGCCTGGAACGACGAGAATCCCGTGTGAGAAGCCATGAAGAGCGGAGCAACAAAAATTGAGCACCGGCTGTGCTTCAAATGACAGCCTCCACGGTCTCAGCCTGCCGATGCACTCCCATTGCACGATCACAATGTCGTATTCTATCGGCACTCATTGCCTCCTTCCTACCCAAAACAAATCGCAGCTGAGCCCTCTTGCATTCCTGGATTGCTGGAAATTCTCCACCGCCCGCCTACAACATCACAACTCGACCTCTTCCTGAGCAGCGGTGATCAAGCTCCAGCAACTCGAATGCAAATCAGTCCTCCCGCCTCCTCCTCCTCCGAGCCGTGCAGTCGGGTACACTACACACGGAGCCAAATCTCTCCGATCCCAGCTCGCCGCATAATCCTCTTGCCCGCCTCGTAGGGAGAATCAGAACCCGACGAACGCATCACTCCATCGTCGAGGCCAAACGTGCTCCGATCCAGCCATGCCTGCACCCGGATTCCGATTCAAATCAAATTCCAGATTCACGAGGAAGGGAGGTGAAGGCAAAGCCGAGCAGGTCAGGCCAGCTTGCAGGGGGCCGCACTAGATTAGACTCGAATGCAAGGGACGGAATGCGCGCAGAACTGGACGGGGCGATTCCATTTTGCGCGGATAAGATTGGTCCATTGCCGTCGACGTCGACGACGACGACGACGACGATTCTCGGTGGATTCTGTGCGTCGTCGGGAGTTTCAGGCGATTCCGCGCGAGAGAGAACTGCAATTGGACGCTTGGCAACAATATCCGGCCGCCGTGGATTGGACTGGAAAAGTTGTGGCCCAAATGGTCGATGGACGATGCTGCTCCCTAACTGTTCCCCCCGTATTTGTTAATTCTTCTATCCATCCCTTGAATTTAATATTACACAATTGAACTACCTAAAATAAAAAAATTGAATTGCTACTATTTTAGCAGCAATTATATATATACATATTTATTTATTACCAGCTAACGTAACAGAGGAATTATAAAGTTCTAAAAATAATAACTAAAAAAACTGCAAAAAGAACCATAAAAGGAGTAGTTCACCACCCAGAGCGACTTTCTCATACTCTGTATTTTATTGGTTCTCTGTTGCTTTTTTCTTCTCCTCGAGCTCTCGCCCTTTTCCATTAAGAAGACGGTGGCCACCCTCGTCAATAAGCACATAACAAATTTATAAATGTAGTTAATATACAAGAACAAGAAAATATATGGCCAAAAATCAATATTTTATTTGGATTTTTTATAAATATATTTGTATTTATGTTGAGATTGACATGTAATCAAAGAATTCAAATAAATTAGTGTTTCAATTTGATATTTAGTCATTAAAATCAAGATTTGTATTTATTTCAACTAATGTTTTTTACTAAATATTCATTTTAATTTGAATTTGTGTTATGATATTCATTTTGTAAATGCTAAAAAATGTATAGTGAATAAAAGTAATACTTAATAATTACGCATAATAAAAATTATAGAATTAAAATTCTATATCGTTCAAAGAAAGAGAAAAAATTGAATTGCTAAGCTTTGTAAATATTATCAAATATAATAAATTTTGAACAACTATAATTATATCTATTTATATCTTCACAATTATACTCAAAATGTAGTTGACATAATAAATTATAGTTTCAAAAAAATGATTTAAAATATAAATAGAAAAAAAATTTGTATATGCTAGGAAACAACATTAATCTACAATCATTCAACATACTGATGTTACGATACAATATTCATACCAATCAGTACATACTTCAACAAAATGACTTTTTTGACAATCAAGTTAAGAAAGTTAAAGATTTTATAAAGATTAAAATCAAGTTATACTACATTCATTTTGAATAAAGATTCAATAATTAAGGTATATATATATATATGCTAAAAATTAAACATTAAGATGCTAGTATGTTCAAATTGGAAACTTGTGAAAATATAATATCTTACAAGATGTATAAAAAACTAAGGATTCTTTAATATTTTTTTTAAAAAAATTTTCAAGGTACAAAAGAAAATCTTTACTTAAATAACACTATGAAAGTAAATTATTTTTTCATCTAAATTTGTCTACAGTGCATGGTTTTGTGGTTTAAATTAAAAATGAAATTGGATGTTTATATTTAAATACTTGAATAAAAGCTAGTTGATTTTTTTTATGAAAAAATCATTTTGTACACACATTAGATTCAATATCGTATGAAATATAATTAATTTTTTCTATGTATAGATTTTTCGTAATCATTGTTATTAATAATTTTAAATTCAAAAAAGCAAATTAATGCAACTACATTGCGAATCATTGAATACAAAAGAAACAGATTGCAAAAAAAAGTGTTAATGAAAATATAAAGACTAGAATAAGAACTTCATAATTATATGAGTAGAATAAATTTTTTACTTATCTTTTTTAAAAGATAAAAATACTGTATCAGATACATTCATGAAAAAGAAAAAATAATGTTGGTGTGTATGTTACATTGACATATTCATAATATTTACTAAAATATATCAAATAAGTCAAAAATTGATTTAAAAATTTAGATTTTATATGGTTCATCAATATTTATAAGCACAACAAGCATTTATTCAACAATACATGTTGAAGATTGCATGACATTATTCTAGATGCTACAATGATTCATGTTAAAGATTTAACATAAAAAAATGATACAGTTTAAGGAAGTCTTTTTAACTTTAATCTAAATGAGTGGAAATTTTTTTCGTCTTTCTACATAAAAGAATTTGAATTTTGAGCACTTTTCATCAAAGAAAAAAAACTAATGCTATTTGATTTTAAACTTAGTCTAAAAAACCATTTGACAAGTCATTGCATGTGAAGATAAAAGCTCAAAGAACATGAGTATTGGTGTAATAAATTAAGAACATTGTGGTAAGATAATTTTCAAATTAATTTGAATTTTTGTACATATCAAGCTTAGAAAAGATATTTTATTTTATTCATTAAATGAATTCAAATAGTTTTACTCAAATGGAAGTAAAAACTAATGCAAAGAAAATTTTAGTACAAGAAGTGCAGATGTATGAATCTGATTTGATTTACTCTTTTGGAAAATTCCTATATGTATATTTATATGTTTAATTAATATGAATTACCAAAAACCAAATAATATTTCAATTTTCCTTGTGATATCCAAAATTTAATGAATTTTATCTATTAAAATATCATTAAAATAATTTACTATACATGTATACAGATCTGATAAAGATTTAATTTTAAATCAACTTTTTCTGCACAAACGTTTTTTTACTGTCAATGTAAGGAAATTTTTTTCGAAATTTATAGTAATATTTATACTTTTTTGCAATAAAAAATACAATGATAGTTTCTATGATAAAGACTCATCACAGTTTTCTATCTTTGAATGTATGTTTCTCCTTATAATGTTGCTATATTCAAGATTTCTTTTTGTAAATTAAGATTTAAAATATCGGACTGATTTATATTATTATCATTGATAATACTGTTAACATCACGTTTTTTATCTGAATACTTTTTATAATTTCCTGAAAATAAACCAAATTTTCAATTCTTTTGATACCGATTGATTCTAAAATAAAATTAGATTCACTAAAAACATGATGACAAGTTACTTAATTTGAAATCTAGTTGTATGCATATAAATGCAGTTTTTCTGAATCTCTTTAACTTGAAAAAAATATTTTTTAAATAAGTTAAAGATTCTGTTCATGTTTCATAAATATCTAAAAATTATTGAAAATATTGAGAAAATTATTTTTTATTTAAATCGTTCCAAATTATCTTCAATTATAATGTTATTTATAAATGTAAAATAAAGTTTTCGATTTACTCTTATGACTTAAACCGGGCAATAATTCCAAAAATATAGAATGATTGACAAAATTATATGTTCTTTAATTATGTTTTGTTTCACAAAATTTGATTCTAGATTTTCTTCAAAATTCTGGATGAGAAATTGATTTTATTTTTATTTTATGTACTAAAAATCCGAATTACTGAATATCTAATCCAAGATTATCAGGGATTTATTTTTTTTCTATTGAACTGCCCTATTTAAGTAAGTGGAATTTTTATTCTGGTCATTTAATAACATCGAGTTAAATAAATGTTGATGTATTTGAAATAATCTTTTTAAATTTCAACTAAATTTTATTTTATAATTTTTTTTATTAATTTAGATCTTTTCATAAAATAGAAACGTACGAATTATATTATATTTGAATGGCAATTTTTTTTACATGTGTTTTGAAAATTTATACTTTTTTTTAAACAAAAAAATGTAATGAAGGTTTTCCAATAACTGAAATGATTGAGTCGTTGAATATAAGATTGTTTGAATCAGAACTTTATTTTTTAAAATGATTCTAGCTTATGTTCAATCATGATTTCATTTTTTAATTGATAAAATAATGACCTTATGTCGAATATAATACCTTGATTACTTTTCAAGATTTGATAGTGTTCTACTAACTTGTAGCAAATGCAATAAGACTAGCTCAAATTGCATTATAGATATTTTTTCCCAGTTGTGCATAATCACGGTGGATGAGGTATGATGTACATGGGTTAAGTTGAATAGTGTACTATACAGTGTAAAAAACTTAACAACGCAAGGATAATGATGGTTATGAATTGTTGTAAGATCAACATGTATCTACATTATTTAGAACTTTTACCCTAGTATATGTGTGCTTGGGATCTAAACAAAATTTTGTTATTTTCACAATGTTGATGACAGTGATAAATAAAGATAAATATGAGAATCTGATATTTTTAAAGTTTCTCTATACATTCACATTACTGTGTATTTAAGTGCTAAGGAGCAATAAAGAGTTTTATAAATTGTTAAAAGTATTTAGTAAAAAATAAGTTTAATAATTTAGTGAAGAGATAGACTGCACAAATGTTTCTTTAACTCACGCTTTCAAAACATCATATGATTTAAAGTATAAAGAATAAATAATATAAGTGATATTATATGAGTTTACAAACAAGTTTAAGTGATATTGGTTGGTTGAAATCAGATGAGAATTTACAGACTATGGTATAGACAGACATAGATATCACTTTTTTTCATGGATTATCAAGTTAGTTGTTATTCAATTGTAATGATTTTTCACTGTATTTTAATCAGATCTGATTTCATGTAATAGTAAAGAATGAACTAAGGTCTTTCGTGCTTGAGAATTTAATTTAAGTACTTCAGTATATAGTTCTAATCCTTTAGAGTTCAAAAGTTTCTATTGACAATTTCCATGTTAGCGAAATTCATTTGACAAGTAATCTGTTATACACTGCTAACTCTTTTGCAATGATTCATATAATCCGAGTGATATTATAGAGCTCCAGCAACTATTTTGAATATTGTTGTGAATTATATCGTTGATGATATGTTCGATGCTACTTGCGTTTATTATCTGAGTACTCCGAACCTGTACATTATACAGCTCAGGCTTTACACAGTCGGTTCGAAAGTCAGCCTCTGGTTTCAGAGAGATCCCAGAAAATACAGATAAGAAAGGGCAATCAGATGTGCAAGTGGAGGGACAACTAACATCTCTCGGCCGAGTTGTCATAAAAAAGGATTTGAAACAACAAATGACGACGTCGTTGTCCAGCCGCCAAGAGTGAAGAAAATTTTACAAGACATCCCATCTTCAAGGAACAACCTATTTACACCTATCAGTGACTATTCTCTTCAGTCATCTCGGTCGGTTTTCTGTGGTCAGTTCAGGCTAATGTTGACACAGCGCCAATTGAAACTCCGTCAAATGTCAATATACAGAAAAGAAGGTATCGAGTTGATTCCGATTGCCATAGACCAGAGACTTTGTTGACTCTCCCCTCATCACAATATACAGGTTATGACTGAGATGATGAACTTTCCCAAGATGGTCATTTTTCAACAACTCCCAGTATTTCAGCTCGACCTCCAGCCATTCTCTCCGCTTTCAGGCCACGCTCGCCTGCAAAGTGGAGAAATTAGACCATAAAACATAACCATCTACAATGCATGCCCTCTTCTCAACTGCTTTGAAAACCTGAGTCGTTTGTCACAAATAAAAAAGATTGCGATATGACTCGAGCTTACTAAAGTACGGAAAAACTCACCAGTCCGAACTCGTACCACATCAGATACGGGTGAAACTGAAGAAGCAAGGACACAAGCGTTAATAGGCAGATTAAATAGGTTCGAGACACATCCATTCAGTCCTTTGGACCCTTAATTACAGAGAAATTGTATCACAGTGCAGAAACCTTCATGCTTGCGGGGAGTTTATTGTTTCGGACTCTATTCAGTTTTGGGAATGTCTCAAAGTGGATCATAGCAAAGTGAACCAAGATTTGACAACGTATTGAAAAGTTTTCCAGAACTTACTAAACACTTTCCCATCTCCTATTTCCCCTGTTCTTGCATTCTCAATGACGGTAGCTAAAACCGCCTCCACCTGAAAACATATGTTGAGTTGTATTAGCATCTAAAACACGATAAACATCTTCAGCAGTAGGCCCATACGATCGAGAATTATAGCTAAGCTGATTGCTATTGTTGGATAGGGCGTAAGAACATTCTTCTCTGTGTCTTATCGTTTCAATCGTATAAAGTATTTGGATACATGCCCACTCTATCGACCCACCTGATCTTGAGAAACAACAATTTCGAGCTTCACTTTCTGCACGAAACTGTCTTCTGTGAACTCCGATCCTGCCAAACGGTAAGTGTTATTGACACAGAAAGTCATGATCGGAAGATGCTCACTATATTTGTTGGACTTTCCTTCACTAGGTTCACCCATAAAGACCGATATTGCTCAGCTAAGCTAAAAAACGGCGGATTATTTAGAAAGAAAAACCTGCATATCGTTCCCGGGCTCCACCCTGAGCACCAAATCCTCGTACATCATATACAGTTACTCCCCGTATTCCCATTTTGATAAGTGCCTGCGAGCAGAATGAAATTGAGAATCACAAGGATTTGAGGGCTTTGTTGACTTATACCTGCCCCTTGAAGTGTCAATACAAAACTGGATTCTACCATACACTCTTCTTCAACAAAACGTTCCAACGTCTACAGCTTGTTGACGGAATACGACCGGCATGCTTAGTCAAACGGTGCGCAGGATAGAAAGATACCGAAGCAACATGTTGGAGACGCCAAGGCCTTCAAGACAGAACCTCCACAAAACAGCACACAAGGCAACCACCAACTCGATAAGCTCGGGACGAACTTTGAGTTGACGAACTTTGAGTTGTTCCCACAAGATTGCAAGCCACTACAAGGCTATAAGGTGATGAGTGGAGAATAGGTGGTGGATTCGAAGCTTCTTACCTGACGATAGCTTCAATCTTGTAAAAATCTGATTGGGGAACATAACCTGGCACAAGGAGACAAGACTAAGTATTCTGATAATGGTAATGCCAAACTAAGCTCCCCAGCGAATCTGCTAGGAATAGCTATCATCTCGTAAAGGGCAGATAAAATCGCGTATTCAGAAGAGGACAAGTTTCCAGGAAAGAACAATGAAATGTCAGCATTGGCGTGAACTCTGCGTCCTTCAAAATATGTGTTTTCACAATCAAATTAGAGCTATACATTGAAGCATTTTACCAGTCCTTTGGTTCAGAATTTCAAACAGAAAGTTACGTTAAGGCCATGCGCCTGGAGTAGCGAGTGCTTGGATAACGTAATCAGGAAAAGAAAATTGAACGCCTAAAGTGAAGTACACATGAATGGACCTGAACAAGAACCTCCTACTACACCGGAAATATATCTCAATTTGAGAGTAGAAAATGTTCACATTGAGATATCAGGGCAGTTGTTTTTTTTAAAGAAAATCACTCCCAAGTTTCGGCATTTCAGATTGTTTTACAAACCAGTTCTATATGAAAGTAACTGTCGTCGGACTGTTCACACCAGACCAAGACACCCTCGAAAAGAGAAAGCTGTACGGAATCATCAGATGTCTGCGATCTACAGAAAACGCTCGGTTCTCGGCGATGGTGTACATCGCTTGATGTATGAAAACACCAAAGAGGATTCGCGCCCACGTTGGACACAATGCGCGGCACGTTGACCTTGTGATAAGCGTAATAAAAAAGTACTCGACTGTTTCAAACTGACCGGAGCCGGGTAACAATGTGATCACAGTCTCGAACATTGAAACCTCGAGTACAAACAAACTGAAAGTCAAAGCATCTGCTGAGATCCGGCGGCATCTACGCAATAAAACTGAGAAAGACTCAGCGTACCAGCTCCCGGTGCATGCGAATCTCTGTCATCCCGGCCATTGCTCCCATTGCTCCCACTTGCTCGAGCAGAAAACACAAAAAAATTGCCGGACTCCCTCCCGTTGCTTCGAGGACCCCGTGGCCACGCGCGGAGGATCAAATCTCGGCGACTTGCAAACGAAACGACCCGAGAAGAAGGAGCTGCCAAGCTACTCAAAGAGCCGGAAAGGCACATGTCGGGCGTGCAAGGCTTAACACTCATAAACGCAGCGGCGGAGGCCATTTCTCACGGACAAATTCTCTGCGCACACGGACGAACACCGTCACAAATCCACAGCCAGCTCTCGTTGGCAAGCGCCTGCCCCTCGCGCTCTTGCTCCTGCGATGCGACCCTCCCTCGTGAACCCTGAGAACGAGAGCCTCCAGCACGCGCACTTGTCACGCTGCTTTTTGAACCAATTCGAAGCAGGATGAGACAAAAAGTGGAAAGGTGCGCTCTAGAGCTCCGCTCCTTTTTCGTGGGCCCCACCGGGCGAGGCAGGTGGCAATCTGCGCTGTGCACATCTGATACCGTCGTCGCCGTGCTCTTCCTGCTCGTGCGGCTGAGTGAGACCACAAGTCTGTTAATTGCGTCGTCAACTACGTTGACTCTCGTCGTATTAGCCTCACGCAGTAAGTACTTACTTGTCTTGTATTTCTCTGCTACTTTTAAATTCTGATCATTCCGGGGAGGCTAATTTTCGAATGTGATAAGGAGAAAAATATGTTCCCCTTAGCTCAATCACCAATTGTCTACCGATGTGGTGATTAAGCAGAGTGCTAATCTGGACTGTCACTACAAGAGATGTCTGGAACCCTTTGCTCTCCAGCTTGAGCAAACTTTAACACCAGCAGAATGATTTGTTAAGCAGACAAGTGGTGATCGGGCAAAGGTTAGCAAAAATGTCTCTGGGCCTTAATCGAAGATTTCGAGGTTAGCACCGGCGGAATGATTCTTTAAGCACACTAGTATTGATTGAAAAAATAGTGTAGCAAACGAATCTTGCAGGCGAAATCAAAAATTACGAGATTAGCACAGTCTGAGTGATTCGCAACGCAGAGAAAACCATGTTAGAGCAAAGGGTAGCAGACGTTTCTCGTGGTAACAATATAAAATTACGAAGTTGGCAACGTCTGTGGAAGGGAACAGCAAACAATCACATCCACACGTTCCAGCCGTCACACAGTCGTAATGTCTCACAAGCTCTGCTCGTGAAACGTACAAATCATGGACAAAGCCCCAAGTCACTCCGAGTGCTTCGTGGAGATTTTGTCTTCGAAAACGCGATTGTTTAGCACGTAGCAAACGTCTGGATTTCCGTAGCAGAATATAGTACCAGGAGGAAGGAATCCATCCCATAATCTGTTGCTTCTGAGGGCAGTTCGACAGTCACTGTATTTAACAAAGGTGCTGACAAACTGGGACCATAGACGACTCGGGCTCGCACCCAGACTCAGCCGGAAACGACAGGAAGAGCAGGGACGAAGTTAGCGAAAGTGCACATCGTAGTCTTCCACCTGCCGGGGAATAATGTCGTCCACCAGCAACGCCTTTTACGTGCTCACTTGCAGGAATACATTTCAAACTACGAATAAGAGTGTCTTAAAAAGGGCCAAATTTAGTGCTCACATGTCCGAAGGGTTTAAGAAATACGATAATAAAATGTGCGGAAATGCGGGACAGAAGCCTCCTATACAGAGTTTGGCGTGACACAAGGTTGTTGAATGATACAATTCTCCATTTCAAGCACCGATCAATTTCTATCGCTTGGTGTGATAGTAAAATCTCCCCAACAATCTTTGCCACTGGTATAGGACGGTCGTGTCCTCAAAAATAACGGAGATTCTTTGTGCAATCATCTAGAGATGTATTCATGAATATCAGAATTTGCCCAAGAGCTTTCTAAAAGCACCCGTGATTGACGGGAGGTTACGATCATGCGTTGTCATGATCCCTCCGCATAAATGTACAATTTATCTGTAACTTGATCGCTAGTCAATATTGCAATGCATCCTCATAGCCTTTTCCAACTTTTGGAAACCGCCTAAAGTTTTCGCAAGTGCCCATCTCTGCCCGTGAGTGAGCCTCAAGACCAACCATTGATGGCCTTTTAAAGGCAGACACAAGCTCTCCAAAAAAAATTCCCAACTAGCCCTAAGCTACCTATTTTGAGCTATAGATACAATCTAGTAAAAAAAAGGTTTGAACAAATATTTCACATTTTCTCCACACTACTTCCTGCACAGGAGCGGGTTACAGAAGATTTAGAGCCTTGAGACGATCTGCGTGTTCTGCACTGAGGGTCGGTGGATAATAGTTACCGTGCATGTCCTCCACTATATACTCCTGCAACCACACATTTCCACAAGTTCAGGCACAAAATATAGACTCTTCATAAACCACATCCCACTAGTCGTAGAGCGAATGAAAGAGTGGATGTAGTGCACAGGTTTGGGATGCCGTGTAATACAGACGCACATCTGAAGTAAAAGTAAATGACCGGTAGAGACGACGGACGTTGTAGAAGGTGGACAGTGAATAACCTTGGTCAGGACTCTCTTCGTCAATATGTGGTAGTGCCGTTGCCATATTCTTTGAACCGCCATTGTTGCCGCAAGAAGACCGTAAGCAATCCCGAGTATTGCAAAAATGACCACAAAAATCACCAGAAGCGCCCCACATGCTTCAACGGAAGCGGGAAAGCAATCAAGTATACCCCAGCCGTAACAAGCATCTCGGCAACCTCCCATGCATGGATCATGGTTCGTTACTGAAGAGCAGTGCACGACAAGGCCACTGATACCAAGAATGACAAAGAAGATGAAGACGCCTGCACGACCAGACACATCATCAAAGATCATCCACAGACCATAGGCTTCACAAAGCAAATCAGACAGGTTGGCAAACTTGTAGTTTTCTAGATCATATGAATTCGAGGTGGTTTACCATCCTTGCTGCGTTACTTGTTTTCCTAATTCGTTCCAGCAGATTAACTTTACAAGCTCAAACACGCATCCTGAAGCCCTAAGTTCCGATATTATAAATGGGGCTCGACGAATGCTTCCGTCTAGATGTAGTGTGTTGATTCGGGGGGAGGGAGAGACGAGGGGGGAGGCTGGGGGCCGCGGGGATCAAGGAGAGTGAAACCAAATCTTTAGGGTCCGAAGACTCTTGGTGCCCAAATCTTCATTACTTTTTGAGGGTGATAACTTAGGTCGGAGAAGGCAGAGAGAAAGCAAGCCCACATTTGACAGTAGGCCTGCATCAAAGCACAACCAGGTATTTTGAGTGTGCAAAGAACAGGCTTCGGTGGCAATTATTGTTCGCACTCCGGTCCCACAGAGAAGAAGAAAATCCAAAACACAGGACCAAAACTGGTGAGATGCATACCCAGCCCATAGTAGAAAGGAATGGGGTGTTTTGAAAGCACTCGGTCCCAACCATCGCTGAACGAGTTACGAAACTGCCCATTGTAGTCCATCAGGTACGTCACTCCTCCCAATGCGGAGACGGTCTGCACAGAATCATCATCGTTAGTGCGGCTCGTGCAGCTCGTCCGTATACTTGAGGTATCCATCATAGTCGTGTATACGTAACTAGACAAGACTAAATCCCAACAGTAAGCAGTAACAAAGCGATAGAGATGTAATCGAAATGTGTAATATAGTGTCACGGACATGTAAGTAAACTGATGTTCATACATGTAAGTAAACTGATGTTCATACATACAGCAGCATATTGATGTTTTCAGACAGCTCCATATTCTAAACTACGGTCATATCACGACTGAGGAAAATCTACACGATAGAAGAGAACATACTGTTTGGACTGCCAGAAAGACCAAGAGAACATCACGGGCCACAAACAGTTTGAACTTGATCTTTCGCCATGAGTAATCTTCCGGCAACTCTGGGCGTAGGTGAAATTGGGCCTTGCATGTGGTGCAATGTGAGAAAGCAAAACCCTCCTGCATTGACAAAGCCAACATCCAGACTTAAAAAACATTCACTTCTGATCTTTTGGTCAAAGAATGTGGCCGCTAGGTTCTCTGATTTCAACTAGCTACTCCAGAAACACATCGAGTGTCAACTTATCTAGTACCTGTCAAAGACAAAGCTAAAGAAAAGTCTGGGGACAGACGACATGATTCCCTTGGTCCACAGATGCAAAAGTAACTTCAGAAGTTCTGGAATCAGGTATTTGAAGGAAGACAGTATCACACCTTTACAGCCCGCCAATGATCCAAACACGAGCGATGCACAAACTGTTGTGTTCCCTTGCACATGCACGGTGATATCAAATCATCCCCTGCCAATACGATGCAAGATTAGAAATAAAACAGACACGGGGGACATAGATATCCTGGAAAACGTAAAAATGCTTAATGCTTTGGGTGCTCAAATTGAGCTTTCATACTCACGACGGTACACCAGGACAAGCTAGGTTTGTTTGACTGCAAAATTTCTCCAGCTAACTCTTTTAGAAAGGCGGAGGCCCACAACATTAGTTTCTGTGATTTACTTCCCCCTTGAATAAGCCTCTCGATCGCGAGATTTCCAAAATTAAAGAATGATCTGGGTAGTTCTCGTAGACTATCTTGTACTTAAGGTAGATGGTTAATTACGAACAAAATCTCCTTCGGACGCTCAACGGGTAGTGAACAGATTCTCATTGATTCTGTGAAGCGTGACTTCAAGGCTCAGTGCGATTTTCCAATGACACAACACAGTCGAGCCTCCCATCCAAAAGTCTTCGCAGGAAACCCTCTGAGTAACAAATCCTGCAGATTCGTGATACTGAAAAAAGATGCAGAATCCTCATAGAGCATACTAACCGAGACCAGCGGACTCCGATTCCAGGCAAATACGGCAACAAGCACTGTTTCCCTTGTCTTGATCGTCTGAATCTGAGGCTTCCGCGGCCACCTCGATTTGCAAAACTGAAGGTGGCTGCAAGAGAGGGAGTTTTTCTCGGTCTCTCTCGCTTCCATTCTCAACCCTAATACACTCCAGTTCCGATTCTGAGAAGTTCCCCTTCATAAGCCCGGGCTGACTGGGAGCAATTTGAACTCGACCAATTTACGATGTGGGCCTTCTTCGTTCGTTCGCAGTTGCTATGCCCCTGCAACACAAGCCGACTAGAGCTCGACAGCAGAGAAACTGCCACCCCTGTACGTTTCAGAGCCCAAAGGTCTTCTTCGGTACTACTCCCTTCTCGCGATAGAGTGTCATGAGTGAGGGTGATGTTCTCCGTCGAATTGGTGGCCGACGCGCGCGGCACTTCAACCTATCGGCCGGGCAAAACGCACAGGGGGTAAATATGTAATTGTCCCCGGCCCCTATCTGAATCTCTCGGCACCCGTCGGCACGGCGAACCCACAAATTCTCTCTCTCTCTCTCTCTCTCTTTGCTCTTCCCCTTTGCTTTGGCCTTCCCCTCCACTCCACAGCCCGGCCCTGAGCCCTATCGGGGCAGCACCAGAAGTCCCTCGGTCAGACACAGCACCAGGAGGCCGTCCGGAGAGAGAGAGAGAGTCAGACCGACGAGACGGTCAAGACACGAGCAGTGAGATCGAGCGCTGTGGATGGATGGATGGAGTTCTTCGCCACCATCATCAATGCCAACTCCTCGACGCGCTTCAACGCTGCGCTTGATGCTTTCGCCCGGCGGCATGTCCGTCGACGTCGTCGTCTGCTGTCCCTCCCCCGGATCCTCACAGCAGATCGACACGACACGACACGACACGACAGGCCGGGCCGGGCCGGGCCGGGCCGCGGGCGCCATGGAAACCCCCAACCCAGCCCGCGCACGACGAGGCGGATCGAGGCCCGAACAGTGTCCCGCCCTGCTACTTGTATCATGTTTTCTGTGAGCCGATTGTTGTACCTCGCCCTGTTCAGCTTCGGAATATGTGCTCGCGCGGCGTGGAACCAACTTCTCCTCCCAGAACATGTCGCAGCACAAGCACACAAGAATCCTATTCCACGAGCGACCCACTCGCAATCATACACCTCCCAACGACAATTTCGCAATATCTTCCTGCAATTTGACTTCTCTGGGCTGCGAATATGTTGACTCTCCAATTGACTCTTATGTGAACGCTTCCATTCATCCATCCATCCACCGTTCTCCAATCAAGGATCACATCGCGACAATCAACGAACTGTCCGACGTTTACTTCCGTTTTTCACTATGATTCGTGCTTCTCATTTGATTCTATTCTTTCTTCTCTATTACATTTCTTCCTCTCCTTCGATCTCCCTCTCTTGCCCGGTTCCATTTCTGTCGCTCTCTTTGGGCACGAGGGTTAGATACTTGGAAGAGGATGAAGCCAACAGGACAACAGCAGTGGCCCACTTTGGAGGGATGGCGATAGATTCGTGAGATACTGTACTCCAAACCGCAAAAGAACACTAGCCAAGACACCGCGTAATCATCACCCACAACTTTATGAACAATGACACATTAGTTGCTAGTTTACTACTAACAATAATGTAATGACATATAGATCCAATTGAATAGAATATCGACTATGGTCATATGCAGCTCTCCTCTTCTCACACTCGCCCACCCCATGGTAGCGTGACCTACGTCCACGGTAGCCCTTTTATAACAATTAGTGCATTATCTTAGTAACTTTGATAACACTGAAAATTAGAAATCTTAGCAGATGTTTTGTATTATAACCATCTCAATTCTTCACTTTGTATCTTCTCTCATTATATTTTTTGTTCAGAGTCATAGAGTTCATAAGCGGAAGTCAATTACTGTTCTTTACTGTTTTGCAACGAAGAGAGCTAAACTTAGACTTTAAAGGATTTCTAATGAATGCTAATATTGATGTTTGGTTTTCAAAAGTTACTTGGAAGTCACATAGTAATAAAATTGATCTTGATGATGATGATATCCTATACATAGAATGCAAAATCAACAAAAGTTCACTTTCTTGTCACTATTGATCCCATACAAAATTCATTATATTTTGTTGTGTGTTGATTTAGATCAAAACCAAGAAAACGCAAAGCACTATATATATTCTATTGGATTAAAATAAATTTTGAATTTTGAAAATATATGATGAGGTGTTTTCAAATGACATATGTTGATCAATACAAAATCAAAGAACTAAAATATTGAATACAAAATTTCTATACTTAAAAATTTGATGTGAGAATTTTGCAAACATATTACAACAAGCTTATTGCTACAATATCATACATTTGAATTAAATTGATATAACGTTTTTCAGTTCATCATACATTGCTATGATACTTTATTACAATATGATGTTTTCAATTCAAGCTACAATCTAGTTTTGCACTTCATCATACTTAATTATGATAACTAATGCATAGATTCAAATTTACTTTGAATATTAGATCAATTGATTTGAAATAGCACATGTTACATTATTATTTTAAAAATCTATGCTACATGGAAATTCAAATAATAATAATATTGGCTAAAAATTTAAGTTCAATACATGAAATGTGTATATAAATTTAATAAAAAAATTTCATCATCAAAATTTGTCTTTATAATTGAATGATTCTCATGACATATAATTTTTGTTACTTATTTATATTGTAAAATATGCACAAAAAATTACAATTGATTCATAATTGTTACATTGATGATTACATTTGATTCATTCAAACAAGACGACAACAATGTGCATCAATTTAATAAATTTGGAATCATATGACACTTTCACCATTGCTATGTTGCTAGATATCACAAATTGTTTCTTCATCAAGTTTTCCTCCTCCATCAACCTCATTAATGATTGGTGTTGTTTCTGGTTCGGCCTCAAATTCATGTTAATCTTCTCGATCTTCAAGAACGAATACGCAAAAGACGCACTGTAAGACCAGATGTTGAATGTGTGAAATAGAACTAGAAATAGCCAAGTAGTTACTCATGGTTAGCCTAGTTATAACTAAATCTAACTAGTTGTGACCAAGCCTCTCTATATAGGGCAAATTCCTTATATTTTGAATCACAACAAAATAAGGAACATTTTGAAAACAAAATACGTAACATACAGAACATAACATAAATCTGTCATGTTTTCTTTAATAAACTTTGAATTTGACGACAGTGTAATATACCTTCAAGAGACATGGGAGTTATATTGTACCTATGAATATCATCTCCCATTTCAAAATTGAAAAATCGCTTTCTACTGTTGCAGTATTAGGAAATGGACAAGCTAATACTCCTACAAATTCCATAAGTCGAGGAAACCTGTTCCTAATATTCGGAGTACTCCAAGCTTCGCAAAAATCAGACTGTTCAGTCAACCTACTCAAAGCATTTTGAAATTGATGTTCTCTGTCCATAAAACCAGAAGCTTCTTGTGTTCTTCCACTATTTTATCTATGTACTCTTGTTCCCGAGAAAGTTGGAGACAATTTTGATATTTAAGAACTAATTGAACAATTTTTTGTGTCTTCATAGCTACCAGTTCCTGAGGCAAGCAAGGTGGCAAAACACTAGAAGCTGCCTCGTTCAACTGATCACGTGTAGCTTCTACCTTGCTCAAATTACAAACTACTTCCAAAAACAGGTTGCCAACTACATGCAACACTTCACTTTTTGAGTCTGTGTCCATCTCTGCCAATGAACAGACCTTGATCCTCGATTAATACAATCAGATTGGCATGACTAACTTCCCATCTATCCAAGGTTACAATGTCAAACGCTGGTGATGAGTTTAATTCAATCTCAACTCGCTCTACACATGCAAAACGCTATAAGTTAGTTAGCAGATCTTGGACAACTGACTTTGGCTGTTGCAAAGTAGTTCTTCTTCCTTGTAAACCTCCAACACACTGGCTTACATGCCCCCAAAAGCTCGCTTACAACTGCAACCATAATCCACCAAGATAATGAAGTCATGTCACGAATTTTTTGAGAAACATCACTTTGTTCAAAATAAGCCATGATTTTAGATCTTCTTTTGACCAAAAAACGAGATACACGTAACATAGAGGCCCAACGAGTAGTAGATAAATTTGGACAAAAAGCTTGCATTTCATCTATCAAAATTTTTTGACGTCGTAAAATAAAAATCAGTGAGGTTAGAGTCTTATGAAATCCACAGCTAGCATTTTTATGAATCTTCTGCATCACAATATCTATCTCATGCAACAAACATCATACACGAATGAAATTTGGTCTAATCACTTCCTGAATACGTGTCACAACTCCAGATAAATGTCCTATCATATTTGTAGCACCATGAGTTGAACATCCAATTAGCTTGTCTTTCCATAAGGGACAAACTGCATCAAACAACTTGCAAAACATCTCAAACATAGCCAATCCTATATGTACTAGAAAAAGTAAGTTTGATAAGGTGCAGATTTTCAATAAAAGAATTTTGATAAAACCGAATTCAAACATCAATCCAAGAAACTCCCTGGAGATCACAAGAGGCATCAAAGGCTACAAAAAAAGTCCAGGCCGAGTGGATTATCTAAGCAATATTTTCAATAGATATGGCGCATGCGGTTCTAACATAAGAAGCAACCAGATATTCGCTACAAAATCCAAGTTTAGGAATATCACAGACCTCTCTCGCATCCTAAACTGCATCAGTAGTCATTGAGAAGGACATTTTTCGTGCAACAAAACAAATTGACAATTCAAACTGTTTTTTCTGGTTAATTTGAATACAGTTATTCCCATCATCAGTTAGTTTAAAGAGTGACATTGCATTTGCTCAAGATTGACCATACAAATCATTTTCATTCCTGAGCATGTCTCTTATAATCACATAAACAATTGAACATCTGATTATAAAAGTACTCATGGAGACTGATTTTCCATGAAATGACAAATAGTTTCAACATGTTTAATAAAAACAACAAAATAATTGTACTTATCTTTTGTCAAAAGCTTCCGATACTCCCTCCACCTCACCTGATGATTGATGTGCAGATGCTGCATGTAGTTGTTTGTTCTAAAAGGAGGCCCTTCAAATGTCCAAGACGTAGAGGATTTTTTAACAAGTTTTTCGCGTCCGAAACATACACAAAATCTACACCTAACTGCCACCACTTCAGAAGTTCTAGCATCACGACTTGCTATACAGAAACCATACTAAAATAGATATTTTTGCTGGAATGGAGTTTTTCGGAGTCGTTTAGAAGCAGGTTCAATAAACTCCATCAAGATTTAGGGAAAAAAGTCAAAAACTATAGTTAGCAAAATACAAATCGGAAAATGTGAAGTTTAGAGTAGAGATTAGGCAGCTATTGGTTCTCAAATCACACAATATTATAACATTGGTTATATTGTTGCTAGCCTGTCCTACTATGCACCAGCTAGTTGATCCCACAAACTAATAGTGTGCAGATTCCAACAAGCACCCGCAACTGCTCAAAATCAAGAAATGGCCTCTGAACTAATGCACACTGAATCTAAATTCCGCAAGATGAGAAAACTTGCACGCTCTTGTCCAAAATAATGGATTGTTTTATGTTATGAATAATATGTACACAAGTCTTAAACTCAGAAAAGGCGCCCCAACATCTCTCTCCTCGCTTCACAACCAGGACAAGTAGAAAAACAGAATGATGATGACTTGAAAGTCACATCCTGTACATATGAATTTTCTGTGACGACAAGATTCTCCTAAAAATTATTGTTACTCATACGTCG